ATACATCACTTCAGCACATTCTACATCCATTAATAAAATCTTTACATCTTTATATCCACTCGTGAGTTAAAACTCTCTCCACTCTCCACACTTCTCATCAAAAATTTCAAAAAGATTTGAATTCTAAAAAGCTCATAAATAGGCGTAATTTCATGGGTTTTTCATCAAGTGTCGATGGGCGTGAAGCTTGAAAAAAGGAAGAGAAAGGGAAAAAGTTTGTGGGGTAATTTCGGCAACTCTTTTCATCTGATCACCCAGTGATAGCATCACTCAAACACTTTGATTTTGGACAAAATTTCAAGAAAACTCCGTTATGATTTGCAAAATTTCATTATTTAGTTATTCTTTTCATTATGGAATTCGATCCACATCTTGTTCCAATTAAAAATTGCGTAAAAATTTCAAAGTTATATAATCAAGTTAGATATATAACCAAATTTTCTAGAGTCACAGAGAAATCTAAGCTTTTTGCAAACAATAAACTGAACAATGCACTCTTTGAGGAATAATCAAGTGAAGATAATCAATTTCGAAATTATTTAACTCATTTAGAGCTTTGAACCAGACAACATCTTCTTTTACGACTTCCTCATTTTTCTTTTCCTTTCTGTCTCCCCAAATTGTTTAACACCCGCTCGTTTAGTGATTTTGCCGATATGCGAACATTTTTCTACTTCTCTTTTTTCACCGCGATTTTCGCACAAGATATCTGGTACAAATGCGTGAAAACGGATCTCGATTTTGAAATTGTGAGTTTGGCAGTAGTAGTTGGTACATACAATGATAATAACCTGATAGTAAGATTAAGTTAAAAGAAGAAATAAGATTAAGTTAAAAGCCTCTTTTAGTCGTTGTTGACTGCAACCTTTAAAACCAAAAAGTAAGCAATGTTGTAACCAAAAAGTAACCAAAACAACCAAATAGCTCCTTTGATTTTTACCTATTCAGAGACGATTCAATTTGGCCATCGGGATCAATGAGACCTACTCTTACAATTCGGGTGATGTCAACATGGTCTATCAAGCTGTTTTTGCCGCTTTTCGTCAAGACATTCCAGGAGTTTGTAGGTGAGAAAAATCAAGTTTTAGCTAAAGAAACCTATCTTCGTGTCAATAGATAAAAGATAGACCATAAAAAGTTAGATAAATAACCAAATTTTTAAAGAATTGATTCAACCAATTTCCTCGTCTATAGATTTTTACAAAAACACGTTTTCACTGTTGAATTTGTTTGAAAGTGAACCGAAATTGACTTAAAAAGATGGGAAATTGAACAGTAAACACTTTTTATTTAGAGAAAATCATAGATTAATTGATGAATTTGTTATTTTTCAAAGGAAGTATGAAAAGAAATGAAAAGATTTATTCACCAACCTAATAAAAGAACAAGTTCTTCAACTTTCCAGAGCCCGATCAGCCTTTGCTTATTACCTTGGTGCCACTTATTCTGATTGCATGGATCCTTTCACAATTGCTGCAATCGCCAGCACTGAGATTACAGCTTTTGATGGTAGGAATTGTTAAAAGCTGAGATTTTATTCATGAACAATGAGACATTTCAGCTGTCAGCTACGGACAAATCTGGAATCGACTCGAGTTTGCGTGTGGTGGAGGATTCAGCAGTAAGTTTTCAGAGGCATTTTGCAATTAGAATCATTTGTATCTAAGAACGTTTATATCGTTTATATCTTTATATCATTAAAAAGTTAAAGTTCTCTTTCTCTTTCATTCTCTTTCTCTTTTATTCTCTTTCATTTCATTAAAGTTCTCTTTCAGTTGCCATTGCTGACTATCCCTGCATATACAGCGCCACTCAAACAAGTCGATTTTCGGCGGTAACAATTTGCACATTATCCAAGCAAGATCATTTTAGTGCTATCAAGAATTCCGCAACGCTACCAACAACTATTCCGATTTTAACATCTTTTGCAAGTGGGTTTAACAACTATACATTTACAAATTTGTAAGAATAATTTGGCACAAACAATAGACAAGCAAAACCCCTAAATTTAGGGAAGAAAAAACATCTACCGTATTTACTCTATTAGTGGGGTCCCCCACTATTTTTTCAATCCCCTTCCAGACGACCCCACTATTAGAGAGGACCTCACTATTAGAGAAATTTAAAAGAACATAAAACCAAAGTTTTAAATTGAAAAGATATCAATTTTTCTCCGAAATTCTTGACAAAACAAGTTTGGCTTCATATTTTATTTAGCTTTAACCGTAACAAAACATTAACAAACAGTAAAAGAACTAATCCAAGAGACCAACAATTGATGTATCACTTTCGTTACCAATATCTTCTTCCAATTCGATTGATGAAAGGTGATTGTTGATTCCGGAGATGGCGCGTTCAATTCGAGCATCGGCGCGTTGTTTGGCTCCTTCGGGGATTCCTTCAACTTGCGACCACCTCCTTGAATCCTCTTCAGCGTCTTTCCGTTCTCTTTCTGTTGCTTCTCCAGTTGTTCCTTGTGGTTGCACCATTTTTGAATCACGCTTTGCTTGACGCCATATTTTTTTGCAGTTCCCCGTTTGTTCATCGTCTTCTCTGCTTACGCAATCGCCCTGAGCTTCGTCGAAACGTCGAAGACTCTTCTCTTTTTTGAAATCGGTTCTTCAGAATCGCTCGAAGAAGACATCGCGCCTAAAAAATCAAAATTAACTAAGAAACGTAACTAAGTAACAAAACATAAAAATACGACAAATAAAGTTTCTTTAAGCAACAATCGATTTTAAAATTATGCTTGAAAAACATTTTTTCCAAAGACAACAATGGCCTAAGTAGGTATACGGTAGCGTTTTATGGAGCGCGCACTTTAGAAAACTGATTTTCACTAATCGATTCCACTGTTTTTTTCAACCCCCCTCCAGACGACCCCACTATTAGAGAGGACCCCACTAATAGAGTAAATACGGTATATGGGAAAAAAGAACGAATAATCTAAACTTGAATCCTTGATCTCCTGACTAAGATACAGAGCTCTTAGCCAGTGGGGCATGGCAATCCCAAAACTGAGCTTTTACAATTGTTTTAAAACTGTTTCAGAGGTGTTGCTGTATATGCACAATGCGGTGAGACGGCTGTTCGAGAGATGCAATGCAAAAATGATCTCGTGGGTTTGCTTAGGAATTTATCTTGGTTTATCTAAATATTGATATACTTATTTGTTATTCAAATTTCTATTCATTTCTATTCATTTTCAGTCAGCCTGGTATCTTTGTGAGAGTCTGCGATATGGAAATGGAAAGCTCTGTCCGGGACTCCGATGCTTTACCAATTATCTTTAAACTTTTAAATAAACATCCTAAATTCTGATTTCTTATGAGTACAAAGATAAGCAACAACCAACAAATGCAAAAGCTAAACAGCATAAACAAAGCCTGTCACAATGTCAAACGTGATGCTTTAGTTTGGGGTGCGACCCGCTTTAACCTTATCATCGGGGATGACTTTGCTTCAGAATAGTAGCACAAAAAGGTTAAAAGGGTTTCCCCAAAACGCTTACAACATAACAAGAACACGCAGCATCCAACATAATACTCGGATAAGAGTACAGAACGGATTGATACTTCGTCGATCGTGACACAAATGTTAGTAAGTTCTTTCTACAGTGTTAAAACAGCTATCTAACCAGGATTTTGAAACTGAAGGGTAGCCTAAAGTAAATTGAATTTCTAATTTTACGGTTTATTAGTACAGAACCAAAAATGCAACGATACCCATTATAAAAACAGTATGCGCATGAATAGAAACATGAAAGTCCCCAAGAACGAAGGCAAAAACCCCAATGCCAAAAAGAGCCAGAAGCTCCGCAAAAAAAAATAATTTCGGGAAGAGAGAAAAAGACGAAAAAATGCGATGCAAATAATTGTAAAATAGGAACGCAAAAAGGAAGGAAACGGATGCGACCCTTTCATTTTAAAGCAGAACAACGAGAATATACTTAACTTTGTTTATAAGAGATTTCTGAGTTTTTGGATTCCTTTTTAAGATTAATAGTAAAAGCAAACTGCCTTTTCAACTGCTCCAACTAACTTTTCCAGGTGCGGTGAATGGAAATGAGTAGGCAGAGTCAATAGTTGTCGTTGTCAATAGTTGTCGTTGTCAATAGTTGTCGTTGTCAATAGTTGTCAATAGTTGGCGCGGCATGTTCGTGTGAGTGTAAACTCGATCAAATCAATCACAAATTTGAGTCTTGATTACCTGCATAACTATCAAAATTGCTTTCTATGGTCATGAATTCACAAAAGCCCAGATTTTAGCAAGGAAATGAGCAATCGTTTGGATCAAAAATTTCGGCAAAGTTTGAAAGGAACAGTTGTCGAGAACTAATTTTTTTTTTCGGACATTCTGTATAAAAAATGGTGCCGAACTTACCGTTTGCTTCATTTCAAAGTAGGAATCTGTGATGGAAAGTAAAGAATAATAAAGAATCATTGGTCAACAAGGCCAAAAATTGCGCAAAACCAGACTAAAGTATAGACATTACACATTACTTATTTCACTTTAAAACCCTGAATTCCTCAGCCATTATTTTCAACGGAATGGAGATATTTGCATCAAAAATCATACGCCAAATTATTGTTCTCCTGATTCTTTAACACATTCTTTCATATTTTGTGAAAGCTCGATTTGGACAAGGGTTCAAAACGAATAACCAAATCCCAAAAATTTAGCTCTACAGCATAAGGGCTCTACAGGGCCTCTACAGGGTGACCAAGAATTACCGCAACACACAAAAGGCCTAGCTTTTAACCAAATATGCAACCCATCTCGAAAAGTTCACTTAAATATTTTTATTCAACATATAACAGTAACAAATAAACAATTAAATTCAAATTCGCCTCCATAAAAGTCGGTAAGCAAAAAGTTAAATGGGGCTCATAACACAATACGACATTGTTGCGGCAATTCTTGGTCACCCTGTAGAATCTGAATCCGGCCTTAAATTTAAGCCAACACACTCCATATAGTTTACTTTCACAGTTTTAATTATTTTTTTATACGCTAATTTCTAGAAGTTAACTTCTTGATAAATTTATGATATATGTTCCCGGATCAGAATTTCCTTTAGAATTTTGTTTTGAGCCTTCAAAAATTATTGGGTACCTTAGAAAAACGCGATTTTCTCAAGCCGGTTTAATTGCCCAAGTTCCGATCAACGATAAAAGGAGTAAGTGAGCCAGACACCGTCTTTTTCCGGCACGAAAAGAACGTACAAAATTTTCTTTACAAAACGCTTTTTTAGAAAATTCAAAAACACTCATTTTTCGAAACTTCTTTGAATTCTAACACTTGATGCTTGTAGCTACATTATTAAAGTATCTGAAACTATTAGAAAATCTTTTTTGCAAAACGTTCTCGCTCCGGTGGAGTCGAGCCAACAACCCCCTATTGGAGCCTCAGCTTGGCCTTAGACCACTCGGTCATGGAATCCAAGGTAACGCCCGGTTTTTCCGCTTTTTACGAAAAATCACACAAATTCCTAATAAAAATATTCGGATTCGAGAAGAGGACCCAGAATTACATACCCTGACGATCCAACGATCCATTCGAAAAGATTTTCATTTCGGCACTTTCAAACATCCAAAGACATGCCTCCCCCAGTTCGCCTAATCTTTTCTCGTTGCAGCTTGATTGATTTGAGTTCCACAATGAGCCATAGTGCCAGTCATGCCAGTCATATTAGCCATATCAACCACAGAAGTCATATCAATCATCCGACTCATCCAGCTCATCCCACAACTTTATTCAGCTGATAAATTCTATCTGGTATCTATTTTGTGCGTCTAAAAACTTTCATTTTTCACTCTTAAATCAAAAAAAGCGTTCAGTGGCCTCTTAAATTTAAAGGCATTCATGTGGGTGGCAAAGTTCAAACCCAGAGTTCGCGAAAAAGTCAAGGAATTCGATGAAAAACTAAACAAAAAAGTGAAATAATTTGCTGAAAAACTCAGATTAAAGCTTGATCTCGTTTGCTCAGCTGACTGTGAGCCATTCATTCTCGGGGATTGCTCGCCTAAGTTGCCATTTAGACTACTTTATTGAGCACTACTTAAGGTGGATAGATCGGGTTGATGTCACTTCAGTTCACATCGTCGGAACCAAAAGAAGATGCAGTCAAACCTTGCTATCGCTCTTCTCGCTTTTGTCATCAATCAGGTATAGACTCACTGGTTTCTAACTAGATCCGGTTTTTGTCGCCGTGGCGCAGTCGAGCGCGTGTCTACGGCTATCTTGTCTGGCATTTTATTTTAAATGACACAGCTATATTAGATTTCAAGACTTTTAAAAAATGATTAAATAAAGTTTATTAATGTTTTAGTTAGTTTGAAATTCCTTTAAAGCGTAACTGTTTAAGAGAGGAGCTTCGAAAGCGCTTCAGCTAAAATGCAAAAGTAAAATGAAGTCGATAGCTGATCTAATTGAGTCAATCACGTATTTTAAACTTTCAGATCTCTGGGCAAAACTGCCCAGCATTTGCTCCAAATGTTGCCACCTCCTCGTTGAAATCGACAGGAACCGGCCGTGAGTTAAAGTACTTTTATGAAAAGTATCTTGACTTTAGCTCCAAGCAGTGGAACAACTTGCCCAAATGGAGGAATCTGTTTTGCCCTGAATGGTGTTGACAGCTGCTATGTGGTAGATAAACGATAAAGTTTCCTTTTCACACTTTGTTCTTTAGTGTGCCGACGCTTCATCAAGGTGAGCTCAAGATGGATGAATGGGGCTTTGAAAGACAAGAAAATGGATTTTAACTTGATAATTTAGTTGCTCTAACTGGAACACGAATGGCTTCTGCTCAAGCACTTCCTACACCACACAATACAAGCGATCCTATTGTCCAAAGACTTGTGGATACTGTTCATCAACAACATCAACTTGCACCGATGCTAGCACGAGGTTTTTGAAAGATCTTGAGCCTGAGACTTGCAACTTTAAGAATCATTAATCATTAAATTAAAAGAATCAATAATTTAATTTCAGTTGTGCCACTTGGAACTCAAATGGGCTATTCTGTTCGAGCACTTACTATACGACTGCCCAAAAAACCCAATACTGTGCCTCGACGTGTGGTCTCTGTTCAGGAAAATAAATAACTACTCTGGAAAAGAAAATAAATATTGGGTAAATGCATATGAAATGGCCAATCCATGTAAATTTCTCCACCAGCGCGGCTATTGAGTTGGTGGGTATAACGAAATGAAATGAAGTCTTTCTTCAATTAATAATTACAATCTTCAATAACTTCAAATCATGCGAGATATTTGCCATTATTGTGTACAATTTATGCCGATTTTACTGGTGGAAGTCAAATGCCTCTCTCGTAGAAAATCTTTGACTTTGACGCAAACCAATGTGTAAGCCATTTTTTGACCTCTTCTTCGGAATCAAAGTGTTTGTTCCCAAAATCATTGTTCATCGCCCGGAATAAGTAGTAATCAAAAGGTGCAATATCAGGGTTCTAGGCTGGATGGACCATCACCTCCCATTCAAGTGAGTTCATTGTAGAACGAGTCGTCTTCTAAACATCCGGTATGAGCATGTTGAATCTAGCATTAACATGTTGAAAAATGATTTTTCTCTTTGGAGTCTTTTCTCTGGCAAAGATTTGGCTGACTTGCCGAGTTGCTCCCAGTATAAGTTGGGTGTTGTCTTGCTATCCAAAAGTTCTTAGTAGATAGGCTCTTCCAAATCCCAGAGCACCAAGAGCAAAACTTCTTCACATGCACATTTGGCTTGACGTCGGGTTCTGGCTTTTCCTCCAACCAATTGGCACCTTCTCCGAAAGTTAGAAGCCATTTTCATCCCCCGTCACAATACAGGGTAAAAAAGATTTGCGCTCATATCGAGAAAGATGAGTGGCAGATTTCTGACACGTTGCCATTTCTGGATGCCATTAAATCATGTGGAATCCAAGTCCCCAATACGGTTGGACCGAAGTGTATGCAATGTTTGAGTATTATTGTTTAATTAACTGATAACTCTTCTGCTATTTCGTTTTTGTTCGTTTGGAAAATTTCGAGCAACTTGGCATTATCCAGCTGGACTGCTGGATGACCCCGTCCTTTGTCTTCGAAGATTCATCCCTAGAACAGAATTTCACAAACCAGTTTGCACATGTCCGTAGTGAAGCTGTTCCTTCCAGATGAGTATTCTCAATATTAGCTGAGCACTAGAGGTCCTTGTGTCCTTGCAGGAATTCGCACAATATAACGTGTCGCAAATCTCCAGATGGTAGATTTTCAAAAGTTAAACCAAAGTAAAGTAAAATTCCCAAAAACGAAATATGTCGAAACTGAAAGTCTATTGTTTTCGCAAGAGTGAATGTTTACTTACCTATTTTCCACAAACTCCCTCATATTTGTTTACATCTCTGGGGTTTACCCTAAAGTCTCGAGTATAAGTTCATCCGAGTATAAGTTCTGCCTTAATTTACATTCGCTTTAATTGCTTTGAATTTCTTTTTTGTTGGGTTTTTATTGTTATATAAACTTTTATTATTGTTCTTGGAGCGCGGGATACTACAGGGTGACAGCCTATCACCATTGCTATTTGTTATGTGCATGGATACATCCAGACGATAGTGTTGAAGAAGACGCTGGAAAGCATCTCTTTCGACCGTCGACGTGGACTTTGGCCGGATGAAGAGGCCAGGGAGCATGGATACATCGTTTAATATTTAGAGCGATGCTGCAGTGGTAGGAGTGATCGGAGTGCCTTCTGGGCAACTCGGGTTGTCGTTGTTGGCGGTGTTATTGTCGCTGTTATTGCGGCTGTTGTTGGCGCAACATAACCCTCATTCATCAAGGCTTGAATTGGGAAGTGGTGAACTTGGTTCTTGTTTGCGAAATTTTACCAATAGTTAAATTCATGGTTTAAGATTTCAAAACGCTTTTAAAACATGCAGTTTATAAACCATTAAAACTTTTTGGCAAGTAAATCTATTCTGGCTTAAAGGTTGGATTGTCATGTTTATACAAATGTTGGTAAATGTGGTGAGCTGACCGGAAATTTCGTTCTGCAAAATTTATACGAAGAGATCAGTTTTGAAGAAAGCTGTAAATCTAATGCTGAAAACGGTTAAAACCACGATCACTCAAAAGTTTAGCATTCGATCGATACAGTTACATATTGTCAAACGACAATTTTTTCTGAGATTCAAGTCTGAGATTTCTGAGCTTATACAGGTATCAATGACCAAGATCTTTAAACCAGAACAATTTATTTATTTTCTTTTCCAGAGTAGTTATTTATTTTCCTGAACAGAGACCACACGTCGAGGCACAGTATTGGGTTTTTTGGGCAGTCGTATAGTAAGTGCTCGAACAGAATAGCCCATTTGAGTTCCAAGTGGCACAACTGAAATTAAATTATTGATTCTTTTAATTTAATGATTAATGATTCTTAAAGTTGCAAGTCTCAGGCTCAAGATCTTTCAAAAACCTCGTGCTAGCATCGGTGCAAGTTGATGTTGTTGATGAACAGTATCCACAAGTCTTTGGACAATAGGATCGCTTGTATTGTGTGGTGTAGGAAGTGCTTGAGCAGAAGCCATTCGTGTTCCAGTTAGAGCAACTAAATTATCAAGTTAAAATCCATTTTCTTGTCTTTCAAAGCCCCATTCATCCATCTTGAGCTCACCTTGATGAAGCGTCGGCACACTAAAGAACCAAGTGTGAAAAGGAAACTTTATCGTTTATTTACCACATAGCAGCTGTCAACACCATTCAGGGCAAAACAGATTCCTCCATTTGGGCAAGTTGTTCCACTGCTTGGAGCTAAAGTCAAGATACTTTTCATAAAAGTACATTAACTCACGGCCGGTTCCCGTCGATTTCAACGAGGAGGTGGCAACATTTGGAGCAAATGCTGGGCAGTTTTGGCCAGAGATCTGAAAGTTCAAAATACGTGATTGACTCAATTAGATCAGCTATCGACTTCATTTTACTTTTGCATTTTAGCTGAAGCGCTTTCGAAGCTCCTCTCTTAAACAGTTACGCTTTAAAGGAATTTCAAACTAACTAAAACATTAATAAACTTTATTTAATCATTTTTAAAAAGTCTTGAAATCTAATATAGCTGTGTCATTTAAAATAAAATACCAGACAAGATAGCCGTAGACACGCGCTCGACTGCGCCACGGCGACAAAAACCGGATCTAGTTAGAAACCAGTGAGTCTATACCTGATTGATGACAAAAGCGAGAAGAGCGATAGCAAGGTTTGACTGCATCTTCTTTTGGTTCCGACGATGTGAACTGAAGTGACATCAACCCGATCTATCCACCTTAAGTAGTGCTCAATAAAGTAGTCTAAATGGCAACTTAGGCGAGCAATCCCCGAGAATGAATGGCTCACAGTCAGCTGAGCAAACGAGATCAAGCTTTAATCTGAGTTTTTCAGCAAATTATTTCACTTTTTTGTTTGGTTTTTCATCGAATTCCTTGACTTTTTCGTGAACTCTGGGTTTGAACTTTGCCACCCACATGAATGCCTTTAAATTTAAGAGTCCACTGAACGCTTTTTTTGATTTAATAGTGAAAAATGAAAATTTTTACATGCCAGATAGAATTTATTGGCTGAATATGTCAAATTTTAGATTTTGTTTTATAAAAGTATCGTTTTTGTACAATTTTAAACTGTTGATTTGGCTATTGTTGATCTTTAATGAGTGTTTTTACAGTCAGCAACGATTTATTATATACAAATATCCAACACTTATAGATAGAGACTTTGCGTATTGTTCCAAATTTTTGACATTGCGACACAATTGTCGGCATCCTGCTTTTGCCCCATACAAGGATAACTAAAAGAAAAAATCTAAGAAATCCTAAGTCTAAACCTTAACCCTAAGCCTGAGCAATGATAATGCAGCGTGTATCTTAATCAAATCAATCAGTTCAGCTTCATTACATTTACCCTGAGATAAAACTAGCCTTCAATCGCATGTATTTTCATATGTAGTTTCTCTAATAGTAGTGCACCCCGGCGAGCCGAGTTGATGACTATTTTACGGTTTCCAAGCTTTCGCAGAAGCTCAACACTCAAATCCCCCTCTAGATCTCATTATCAGCTATATTTTCCGACCCCACATCGATAGGTTCTGAAAAGCGGTTCTCGAGATTTCGAGGAATTTAGGCGACGCTCAGGATGCACTACTATTAGAGAAAATACGGTATATGTATTGCACATTCTTAAGTAACGATAATGAAATGAATAGAAAATGAAGACACCATAAAAAGATGATTGAAACGATGACAACTTGAGTGAAATAATCATTGTAAACAATATGATGCGCGAGATGAGGAAGACAAGATATGACGACGATTATCTAAAAGATTTGCTAAAATTGATTAGGTTAGCTTTCCAGGACTGGGGCTCATAAATTATCTCTTACCAAGTAGATGATGAACACAAGCAATAAACGCTTCTTTTTGAAAAACATCCCAAACGGCCCAATCAAACAGAAAATTATATAAATGACAAGAAGAGCTGTCTCATAAACAATGTGAACTGCGTTGAAGTTGAAGTTGAAGATACTCTTTTTCAATAAATAAAGGCCTGGAGATTGTTTTATTAAGCACTTTCTACAATCAAACCCTTCACTCGTTGTCATATTAGCAAGTGACCAGAAAACGCAATACAATGAAAAGAACAGAGAAAATCATTAAGAATGACTAAATCAGGATTGTGCTTTGAATAAATTTCGCAAACTTTGTGCTTCTTTTGTATGTTTGTTGAATGTTTGTTGAATCTTTTTGTTGTTGAATCCCAGGATGTTGGTTGAATCTTTTGAAACAGCAATAGTAATAGATCATGAGGTAATTTTTGCCAAAAGCTTAACGGAATATGCTACTTCAATCAATTTTAAGAAATTTAACCAAGAATTAACCTTTCACCAGAGTGCTGTATAGCTGTAACAATGCTCTGTATCCGTTAAACTTTTAGATTTAGTTCTTCTTGAACTTCCAAAGTAAACAAGAGTTTAAAAAGTTTTGCTCATTCTCTCGAAAAACTTTTTTATAGAAGCAAACAAAACTGCTTGAAAAGGTTTGTTTTAAGCCAATTGACATGAACTTTTATTCAATAATTTCACTATTTGCGAAGGGAAACTGAAAGAGTAAAGGGCAAATTTTGAAAGTTTTAAAGGTCGACAAATCCCTTTTTGACTGTTTGTATAGCTTTTTTGTGGGCTCTGCGAATGCAAAGGCGTAATTGACAAAAATGAAACGGTATATAAAGGTCATAGATATCCAAGGAGATCAAAGCCAAAGCCAAGACACCGCAATGGAATCAACCCTTTTCTCACTCATCGCCATCTTCGCTCTCGTCCAGGTGAGTGCCAATAGTGAGTTGATGTCAAAACTCGACAAATTGCAACATTGCACTGTAAATTTTGTAGAGATATCTTATTTATTCCAATTGAAGAGCTCTCTCCAATAGAAGAGCTCAATAGAAGAAGAAATTTTTCATTTTTTCGGAATAGCCAACTCTCAGATAGTAAAATGATCAAGTTTTTAAAGATTTTAAAGACTTAAAAAAGGCTTAAAGGCCTTAAAAAAGGCTTAAAGGCTTAAAGGCTGTAAAAAAAGGACTATAGACTGAAAAAAAAGCTTATTGATGTCGAAAACCGGCTGAAAATCCAACAAAAACACCCATTTTTAAGCTCTTGAAAATTTGGGTATACTGGGCACGAAAAGAATTTTAGAGAAACTTTAAAAAATAAAAGAACCAGCTCTTCTATTAGAATGTTTACAGTATGTAGTTGATGCTTCTTTAACACCTTGAAGCATTCAACATCAGTTTTAGATCTCCACGCAAACATGTGGCACCTTTGCTCCCAACGTCGCCAACTCTGCCATTAAGAATGCGTCAAAAGGACGTGAGTTTTGTGTCAAAGTGGTTCAAGAAAAACAGTTTTTAAGATAACAAGCGTAAAATACAATTCATTGTTTTATTTTAGCCGCCATCGATGGAGTCTGCCCTACTGGACAAATTTGTTTCAATATCGCTGCTGTTGATCAGTGTTTTGCGGTAAAACTTTTAGCTGTTTATCTTTTTAAAAGCTTTTCTTTAGTGTGCCGATGCTTCGGGAAGGTATGTTTAGAATTAACTTACTGTTTTTCTTTCTTGAATTACAGAGAAATCTATAACGATTTAGCTGCTCTAACTGGAACACAAATGGCTTGTGCTCAAGCACTTTCTACACCACACAATACAAGCGATCCTATTGTCCAAAGACTTGTGGCTTCTGCTAAAGAAAGTCGATATTTAATAAATTTGTATTTATGCATCAAGAAGCTAGCAACTTGAAATGAAAAGAAATTAGACAAGGCTTTTTATTTTAAATGGCACAATTATATTAGATTTTAAGACTTTTTAAAAATGATTAAATAAAGTTTACTAATGTTTTAGTTAGTTTGAAATTCCTTTAAAGCGTAACTGTTTAAGAGAGCAGCTTCGAAAGCGCTTCAGCTAAAAGACAAAAGTAAAATGAAGTCGATAGCTGATCTAAATGAGTCAATCACGTATTTTGAACTTTCAGATCTCTGGCCAAAACTGCCCAGCATTTGCTCCAAATGTTGCCACCTCCTCGTTGAAATCGACAGGAACCGGCCGTGAGTTAAAGTACTTTTATGAAAAGTATCTTGACTTTAGCTCCAAGCAGTGGAACAACTTGCCCAAATGGAGGAATCTGTTTTGCCCTGAATGGTGTTGACAGCTGCTATGTGGTAGATAAACGATAAAGTTTCCTTTCCACACTTGGTTCTTTAGTGTGCCGACGCTTCATCAAGGTGAGCTCAAGATGGATGGATGGGGCTTTGAAAGACAATAAAATAGATTTTAACTTGATAATTTAGTTGCTCTAACTGGAACACGAATGGCTTGTGCTCAAGCACTTTCTACACCACACAATACAAGCGATCCTATTGTCCAAAGACTTGTGGCTTCTGCTAAAGAAATTCGATATTTAATAAATTTGTATTTATGCATCAAGAAGTTAGCAACTTGAAATGAAAACAAATTAGACAAGGCTAAATATGTCTAACGATCAGTCTAACACTTGATAGCTCGAGACCAATCTAATATAAATTCTCGAAGAGGCCAAGAATAGTCCTTAAGTGTCCTTTCCTTTTTGTGCCTTTAGCTTGCGAGTAGTTAGTTATTTTATTTGTAGAAAAGAGGCTTTGAATTTGTCACACTGACCACTTCATTATACAGCTTCTCTTGCTCGAGTGATTGAATTTACCAAAAACTATCCAAATCTTTGTCACAAACCCTTCAAAAAGTGAGAGGCGCTTGTGAAGAAAGAAAGCAATTAGTCCCTTTCGCCTCTATCCTTTCATCCCCTTCATTCCCTTCATTCCCTTCATTCCCCTTCATCCATCCATTCCCTTCATTCCCTTCATTCCCCTTCATCCATCCATTCCTTCATTTCCCTCGTTGTCTCCTCTTGTCCCTTTCCTCCTTTCCCCTTCTTTTATTTCCTTTCTCGGCTCTCACATATGAAGTCTTTCCCCCTCCTTTCACCACGAGGCAAAGATTGCCGGTTGCCACATTTACGACCACAATTTATGGGACATTTTCCCCTCCATAGATGGAACGCTCATCACATACACTTCATCTTTAAACTCCTTGTTTTCTGGTTTAGCTTTATATACCGAGCGGATTCTGGTCTTGGATTTGCTTTGGACTTCAGTTTTTGTGTAAACTTTGTTGTTGAAGTGGTTATTGTCGTAAATGAAAAGGCAATTCAATGACTTTTGGGCTCAAGGTTTCGATGAATCGCCAAGTTTGGGGTTTTGTGTAATTGGAGGAGTCAATGGTACTCATAAATGATCTCTCGTCACAAGTCCATAAGCTCAAATTTGGCTTGTTCAGTTTGAAAGTTTGCTCAGTTTGAAAGCTTGTTCAGTTTGAAAAACAACTTGAGTCAAGCCGTTTTTGTAAACCATTTCAAAAGCTTTCAACGTGGCTTAGAAAAGCAGCCATGTTAAGCCCTATGCAAATGTATTGAACCGTTTATTTTTAAAGAATCAGCCCTTCCTCCACTTTGCTTACAAACATCCGCTCTTCTGCTTTTTCCCCTTGTGACCACCTCACTAATCCCTATTCCATTAGATAAAAAGAGTGAAAAGACGAACGAGAAAAGAACAATCCGGGAATCCCCAAATGGGAATCGGGCTTTGTTATTGGGAAAAGATGGACACCCACGGAAAGGAGGGGAAGGCTTTCTAGTGGACAAAAGAAACAAGAAAGCAGTAAAGTTGCGTTTCCTTCTCGAGCACGAAAATCTCTTGAAACAAAGTTTATGTCTACCGATTTCTGGGCTGATAAAGGCTATTCCTCTGGTTTCCTCGCATGGCTATTCTTCGCACTCGAATTTTTCTTATAAAAAATCAACTTTAAGTTTAGTTCATTGTTTTAAATGCCGCTTATTCTTTTAAATCTGAATCGTTATTTCGGAATCGGTTAACTTTTCGGGTTTTGATCTATTTTTGGTCTATTTTGAAGCGTTCAAATTAGACCGGACTACCTAAAGAACTATTTTAGCTAAGGCACAAAAGTAATATATTAGGTACATGCATAAGAAATGAGGATTTCAAAATTTCCACAAATTTCCAACGATAGAAACCTGATATCGACGAATGTTATAAACTATTTGAGTTGTATCTAAACTAAAGTTGTAAATCTCCTCTACAAAATAGGCTAAAACTTGTTTCAATTGATCGAACCATTGAAGAAATTTCGAGGGCGAAATGGGCACTTTTTGGGCACCAAAAATGGGCACCAAAAAAGGCACTTTTTGAAAACCCCACTTTTACAAGAGTTCGGTTTTGACTATATAGTGGAAAATGAGCCCCATAAAATCATTATCCTAAAAATATCATTCAAAATAATTAAGAGTTGGGAACATTTCATGGGAAAACTTTGTTTTTACAATAATTTTTCTTTTTTAGTGAAAAAGCCCGTTTTTTGGCAATTTTGAGGGGTTTGAACTTACGCCCTATCTAAATTTCTGTAAATGCATTTCCGTTAGACTTTTTTAATGAATTCATATATAGTTATCCTTTTTTTTTTAAATCTTCAATTTTGGGAAGCTAACTCTATTTTGACCACACTAAACTTGTCCCTAAAGTGACTCGATTTTTTTTTTTTGGTCACTCGCATTTCGCCCTCGAAATTTCTTCAATCGTTCGATCAATTGAAACAAGTTTTAGCCTATTTTGTAGAGGAGATTTACAACTTTCAAATAGTTTATAACATCCATCGATTCTAGTTTATAACATCAGGTTTCTATCGTTGGAAATTTGTGGAAATGTTGAAATCCGCATTTCTTATGCATGTACCTAATAAATAATGGATAGATTCGATGAAACTGGATAAAACTAGATTAAACTATCCTAGCTAAGGCACAAAAGTAATATACATATTTTGTTCATTGAATAGATTATTTTCAAAGAGTCAAAACGAGATCAACTCGACCCATTTGACATGCCCACTGCCAAAAATAGGCACTACTATGCCGTGAAAGTGTGAGTAAAAGTGTGGGATGGAATTCACTCAAGCCTTGACTAATTCCACTTGATTGGTCCCTTCTCGATTCCTTTTGAAAAGTGAAAAAGAGAGGAAGCTCCCTTAGATTCCATTCTGGGAGACACCCTTGCTCTTCCCTTTCTCTTCCCTTTTTCTTCCCTTTCTCTTCCCTTTCTCTTCCCTTCTTCCCTTTCCCTTACCTTTCCCTTCCCTTTCTCTTTCCTTTACCTTCCCTTCCCTTTCTCTTTCCTTTACCTTCCCTTCCCTTTCTCTTTCCTTTACCTTCCCTTCCCTTTCTCTTTCCTTTACCTTCCCTTCCCTTTCTCTTTCCTTTACCTTCCCTTCCCTTTCTCTTTCCTTTACCTAGACCCCATTCTATCTTCATTCAAACCTAAAAATAAGCTTTGAAATGCTGTCGGAAATGAAAAGAATTATATTTTTTATAAATTTCTTTCAAATTGACGTTGTGCTTTGATTTATTGCTTTCAGAAAAGTGCAGCAAACTCAGATATTAATCTGGGTTCTTAAATGTACTCAGAACTATCAAAATAAGATCTTTTCATAAGATCTTCTTCATTTCTTTTATAAATAAGATCTTCTTTGAGTAGAACATTAATCTTCATCCCCAAGTGCCTCTTTTTGTACTCGAGAATCTTCTACAACTCACACTAATTACAGCCGTCTTTAGTGCAAGTAATTAGTCATTTAAAACACATTCTAACGACCAAATGCACCACTAACTACCCAAATGGGTTTCACAAAAAAAATGAGCCAGTATTGGAGTCTTCTTTGACGAGCAAAATTGAGACTTTTTGAGTCTTTTCTGAAAGGTCAACTTTGACGCTAATTTTCTCTATGTTTTTATGGGTAAGTCTACAAAACAAATTCCACTTTTCTTTTGTCAAATTTACTGAAGATTCCAATAAATCCAACCATAAGTTGATTCACCTTTTATACCTCGAGTTACAGACCATCCAAGCTGATCGACTTTTCCAGGTAGGTAGTCCAACTTTGGCACAAATTTTCTCTATGTTCTTACACTAGAGTGTACCAAGTAAATTGTGGTTTTCTATAACCAAATTTCATAAGGATCATTTTAAAACCAACACCAAGTTGATCTGACAATTGAGAGTCAAGTTACAGAGTAAAATAGAAAAGTCCCCAAAGGGTTTTTGAGAGAAGCAAGCCAACCTTTTCCCTCAATAGAAAAGTATCAAAAGCGAGAAATTAATTTGCAATTTTGCCTCGATCTTTCATAAACCCATTTCCCTTTCATTCCCTTTCATTCCCTCCCTTTCCATCATTTCTATTCATTTGGCCCATTTGTGCCATTTGAAACAGCCTTCCCATACTTGGCCCCTTCCTTTGAAAGGTCCTTCAATGCTTCCCTTTCCATCCCTTTCCATCCCTTTTCTTCCCTTTCCTTTCCCTTTCCTTTCCCTTTTCTTTACTCACCGATTAGTCTCTCCTTCTTGGCACCTGTTGTTGGCAGATTCTTGGCTTTTCTTTTCCCTTTCTTCTAAAACCTTTTGGTCGATTTGGGTGCCACCCAGAAACCCCATTTTGAAATCCCTTTCCGGAATCCATTTGTCAATAAGATTTTTTGAGATTTAAAGCTTTGCAAATCCACGTAAGCTGATCTTTTTGAAAGCTGTCGGTATTTTAAAGCCTTCAATAGCTTTAGAATAATCTTATGAAAAGTAGGTTGACTTTTTACGGTAGGAACTGACTTTTGCGAACTTTTTGCTAACTTTTTGCGGTTGCCTTTTGAGCATCTGATCAACTATCAAACAAAAAACACTTTCCATTCATTTCCAGAACTTTTCACAAGCCAGAAGTTTGATGATACGTCTTCTTTCCCTTTTCCGAGTGCAAGAAATGAGAGATGAGGGCGAGTGACACATATTTGTCACCCCCGAGAACTCATTTCTTGCCCCGATGGGTGGCTCTGCTGGGAGCCATTCTGAGCAATGTTTGGCAGAAAAGAGCCAAGCATTTTCTCTTCTCTCTTTTAACGCCTTCACTTTAAGCTCTGACCAAGAAATTGGCGTTACTCTTGGAATCGGTTTTGATACTTTTCGCTTTAAGCTTTCAGTAAAGTATCTTCTATTCTTTTGCTCTCCTATCTCCTATTCAGTAAAGTATCTCCTCTTTCTTTTTTCATAGGTATTGGATTGTTTTTTTTAGTGCTTTTCTTTTTCTCCCAATTCGTCGAAATCTCCTTGGTGGCTTTGCTAAATTCGCAAAAAAAAAGGGGCAACGCCGAAGCACTTTGGGTCTCTTCGTCTCCCGGTTTGGCCTTTCTTTGAGGCGAAAATTTGATTGTGTTTCGAGAATTCCTGTGAAAAGCGACAACCATTTTTCATGGCTTTAAAGAAATTCCCCTGATTAGGAAAGGATTGAGCTATAATGTACTG